TAAATAATTGATCTGTATCTTTTGACCTTTGCTGTTAGCAGGACAGCGGCGGAGGGCAGATGATGCCTGTCACAGTCACAGAGGGTCCTTTCTCACTGGAGGATCTGGACCGGACCATAGCTGCCTTCGACACCGTGGAGCAGCTTCTCAAATCCCTGAACCCAGACACCTGGAAACAGGACCTGGACAGCATCTACACTCAGACACACATCCATTATATATCCAGGACCTATCTTCTGGCAAGCAGACATAATAAAGGTAATTATACCGAACTCTCTCAACCATTTGAGACCTTTACATGATTTCAAAAGTCTCCAGAGGATATCATATATAATTATAGTGTTAAAATAACGTCTTTGGTTTTAATATTTCTCTTGGAACAAGGATCGCATGGATCAAGCAGATGAACATATAAAAATACATTTCAAAGACATTTTTATGCACCATATCAAAGAATATACACAGCAGAGTAATATTTAAGTATCAGAGCCTTGAGTTAGTAAAGGAAGATCGGAACATTGATGTTCTCATGGTGTTTTATTGCGCTGTAGACGATGATCCACAACAACTCTGCTGCACTCACAGTATTTCTCTGCAGACTGGTGCAGTCGACGGTAGCTGCTGTACTGGAGGGGAGGGGAGGGGGAGCATGCAGCCTAGTGTTGACCAAGAAAAGACCCACGCACTGGGAGGCCATATTCTATCCTCGCATAGCAGGCTACACCCAAAGCTCTGTGGTACAGTGGAGCAGAGGGTTAAGTCATATACGGCTCGATAATTTCAGCACAATTATTAGTCAGTATGTAATGACTGTGGAGACACATTGCTGACTTATGTTCAAATATAGTAAAGGTGGCAGCCGATGAAACTGTGCTAATGAAGTGTTGCATATTCAATTGAAACCCCATCATCCCGTCTGTGTTGGGTAGGATACAGAGCTATTATAATATTAGCTTGTCTGCTGGTTGAGTGTATCTCAAAAATATTTTAAATTCTAAACTAGCATATAACTCAATCAATACGCAATATGAAAGATCATCATTGGAAAAAGTAGCTGCTGTTCATATTAAGATGTAAAAGCAGTGGCTGAGTAAGATGTTGCATCATCAAAATGAGCAGTTTGCTCTCAGGGGGGTCTGATAATGAGTCAATGACAGATTTAAGGTGACACAGGACCAGCCGTTCAAGGCAGTTCTTCACTGTGAAGTCAGTGCCAATGACCTGCAGTCACTGAGGCAATAGATTTTATCCGTAGGTGCACAGCTCGAGCCAATGTCTCAGACCAGATACGAAAATTTGACATAAACATCATTCATGTAGAGAACATGCTTAAGGAAGTGTGGGTATTCAATCCCATCTCTCTCATCTGTGCCTATGTATCTCTCTCTGTCCTTCTACCCGAGGGCTCTCTTGTTCTTTGGTAAATATGTGCGCTTGACAGCAAATCTATCTCTATTTATCAGTGCATGTGTGTGCTCTGCTGGCATGAGGCAGCTTCATGTACGGGGAGTCTGTGCATGTTGCAGCACAGAGAGGTGCATAGGTGCTGCAGATCTTTGATACACTGAGGTACAGTGTAGCTCCGTCTAATTGGAAATTCAGCCTGTGCAGCGGAGCAGAAATCTGCCACAGTCAGCAGCCCAGCTTTGTTTTCATTAAGACGCACACACTCAGTGGCTCACATCCACCTTTGTTCCCGTGAAGGACAGTAAGTCTGATCAAAATATTAATTGGGACACTCTGCGTGTGAGTAAGTCACAAACATGCACACACACACACATTAATCAGTTTGACTAGCAGATTTTTACAAACTTTTAAGGACATTTTTCCCCTGGAGACTGATTCAGCCCTCCTGATGATCACGGGACGAACATGTTTGCTATTTACAATTCAAAAACAGGAAGAGTCGTTTAGTATGACTGGAACATTGACTAGGCAAGTGAGCAGACACCTGCAATAGCCAAAGAGAGCGAGCGGTGTCATCAGTCGGAGTGCTTGTTTAATGTTTGAAATCCCCACTCAGAAATCTTTTAGTGGCAAGTGTGTTGTCATGCATCACGACGCGGTTGTCAAGTGTGTGCATTATCAGGATTTAAAATCAGATACTTCTGTCATTATGTCTGTGATCGCCTACTTTTTAAAGGTTTCAAAACCCTCTTGTGTGCAGCAAGTATTACTCTGACCATAACCACTACTTGATAAACCCTCACTTTCACCTTTAACATGGCGTCTTTTTCCAAAATGCTGCCATTGCAATTGTCTCCAATCGGACAAAATGTCCCCCAATAACTGGTCTTTTGTCTGAAATTTGTCTCAAAATTGACTCTGTGAAAGACAGACATTGGTGGCCATAAGAGTGACATTGTCATTCTCACAGTCTTGCTTGCTCTCAGTTGTTCTGTCTTTTTTCCCTCTCGCACTGACCATGTTCCACACCACTGCTTTTCTAAGATTGCACCGATTTCCCTTAAACAGACACAAGCTCAGCCCTGAAAGTGCAGACACACACTAGTACACAGCATATACACACCTACACACTCAAAGCATGTACCTTCATCTTTGCGCACAAACGTACACACAAATCCACAGCACACCTATTGTCCCTCTTGCATTTGGTGTTAAAAGACGGAATGTGCACATCAGAGCCAGACTCAATGTACTTTTGTAGCAGCTCCTTTTAAATCACCTTGTCAAAAGCAAACAAATGTTAGAGAAATGTGTGACTCTTGACTCTCTCGCATTTCTGTCATCAACTATGATTACCTCGCTTGTTATTTTTGCCAAAATCACATAGAGAACTTGAGGGTTTTCAAGTGTGTACTTATACACAAAAGGAAACTTAAAGTAAAACTTTAACAGGTGAGGTTTAGATAGCTACCACTATGCACAAGATGCTACTCTCTACTGAATCTTCTGGAAGCTTCTTTCCTCTCCACAGAGGATCTCAGAAGCTCAACCAAAATGACCATCAGGGTCTTGACCACCTCTCTTACTGAGGCCCTCTCTTCCCTGACTGCTCAGTTTGGCTCCGCAACCAGATCCAGGGAGAGTCCTGCTGGTTCTTGTCCTTGGGATCTGCTGATTTCTGCTCTTCGCTCTGTCTCTCTTCATTGTTGTTCATTGGGTTTCAAACATGAGTTGCGTCATGAAGGGAAATCCGAGCAAAAAAGATTTATTTTTGTGAACAGTTGCTTATTGATTATCAATGCCAATCGGTTTCCCTTGACCCTCTCTGCACTTCCCATTGGGTTCTCTAATTCTCTCTTTTTCTCTCTCTCTCACAAACACAATATTGCATGTCAAGCAGATTTGTCATCGTTATACTGATGAGGTGTGTGTGCAATTTCAACGCGGGTTCTATTGTATGACTGATCCTTAAAGTTGTGTTGTTGCAGTGAACCTCAAACATAACCCAATGAAAATCAACCATTCAAAGCTTTGCTGTGGTAGTAGACTGCAAATATAAAGTCTTTAGTGTTGCATTGCAAAAGCCTGTTGTATTTCAATGAACTGAAATCTTTTTGTCATTTTCACTGAAAATAAACGTAATTAGAACACTGCTGACAAATTTAAACACAACATTTTCCCATGCTGTTGCCTCAGTGGTTTATGGACTTGACTTGTTTGTTCAGCCCTGGTGTAAGATCTCTTCTCTTTGTTGTCTTTGCCTGGGAGCGTGCTACAGTGGGTCTACATTGCTTAGAGAGAATCAGGCTGCAATCATACAGTCATTCTGATGAATGGGGGTGATGGGGTTTAGGAGCTCAACCCACCACTGTTTGATGTGATAAGTGCTTTCTCCTCCTACTTTCTTCTGGACGAAGGACAGTTGCATTCTTCCATGAAGGTGAACGCATCAGCAATTTCTTCTTGTCATGTTGCTGAGGCTTGTTCACTCACCCTTTCTTAAAGTGGCTCCTGCAGGTAGTAAAGCCTCAGTCTGTAGTCTAATGGGTGCTTAAGGCTGCCTAATCTGAACCTTAGGAGCCATTTGGGGAAATGCCATTAACTTCTTACACATATCTGTATTGTTATTATTACATTTGTGAAATTTTGCCAGTGTCATTACAGCTGGAAATATGCTGGACTGGGTCAGTTGCAAGGACAAATGTATGCAGGTTTATGGTGCACAACAAAAAACCTCCACTAGACCACATCGTCACAGACACAATGTTAAGTGGCAATTGCAGGCAAGTTTTGTAGTAATGGATCTAAAGCTAAGAACCTAAGACCTCGTTCAGGAGAAGAATTTATGAAGTGAGCCCTGTTGATGCTGCAGAGTTGCTAGCTCTAGACAAGGTAAAATTGAAGTGCAGTCAAAGGGCAGAGAACGTCTATGGCACAGTATATTGAAAAAACATTAAAGGGCACCGCAAGAAATTTCAAGTCTTTCTCTATGACCTGCATTTAAAGTGAATAGCATCTGACAGATGCCTGAGTTCAACCATCAAATTACAGAGGTTAGTGTGATATAATCTGTATTCAATAATTAAAAGGCCCTCGTAGGGTGCTCTAAAGAATGATATGGCCCTTGATAGGAAAATGGTTCCCCACCTGTCTAACAGCAAGTATGTACGACTCATTTCTAACTATGAAACAACACTATGAAAATGAACATCTGTAATGTGATAAACAATTGTGGTTTTTCATATTTACTGCAAACGACGACCTATTACTAGATATTATCCAGCGCAAAAGTACTTGGCGTACCCCTTAAACAACAGACAGACATTTAATTATCACAATGTAGTAGTTACAGGCAGCTGTTAGAGTAGAAGACAAGGGCACACGCCTAGCAAGACTTCTGCAGAACTAAAACTAAAAATGATGTGAAAAATAATTTCCATTTTTATGCAGTGTATAAAAGAGATTTTTTATCCTTAAGTAAAGCAAAATGATTGATGATTGAACGGCCAAGACAAACCACCAGCGATGTTATGATCAGTGTGGTGATTATTATCCAGCTGACGTCTTCAAAGCAGAGAGCAGTATGCCTGACACTGATCACCGCTCCTCTTTCACCACTTTTTACTCTCATCTCTTGTCCATGTGGTCGCCCTGGATGACCTTTGTAATATGAGCAATTTAAAGTTCTCCCTTTATATCTAAAGAAAGTACATTCAGTGCCTCTTTCAATTTTCATCTGTCGCTCCTAGAAAATCCATACCAATGCCAGAGATGATTGTTGTGGTCTTTCCCTTAACCACGTTACACATCTACCCTTTGTCCATCTTTGACAAACATTCAGCAGCCTCAAAATAAATGCTACACTTTGACCTCAGGTTCTCTTTGTGCCGGTCAACAACATTTATATCATTCATTCAGTGGTTTCTTTGCCAATGCCAATACTAGAGAGAAATAAGGTATATACAAGATTTTAATGAGGTAGGTGGTAGATTTTACTGTCTCAACTGAAAATTACTATTATAATAACTGAAATTTGCCTTAAGCATCACAGTGTGTGCGTCATAACATTAACAACAAAATACAATCATCCAACAATTGAACATCAAGCTCCTGGTTTTTCTCCTATTGACCAGGACTTACGTTGTTTAAATCATCAGCTTTTCCCATAATCCCCTGGATTCTCCTGCAAGCCAAAGACAGGTCCAGGACTCAGACTGTAGATTGTCACGATATCCAATCTACAGTCAATTAATTCTTCCCCTGGCCTTTGTGTTTATACTTTCTGTCTCTGTCTGCCATTCATCTACAGTCACTTGTTATTGCAGTGTGCTGAGTCAATCACAGCCACTCTGCTTCATTCACCTCCCTTCTTCTGTTATATTCTTTCACCTCTGTCTAGTAAACCTGTATTGTGATAGAAAAAACAACCAGATGTTTCTGGTCATTTACTGGAGAACAGAATAGTAACCTCTTAGATGATGGATTGACAAGTAAGGGGTGCCATGTGTTATCAAAAAACTATTCAGTTTATTCCAATAAAGACAAGGATTCTATGATGAATAGAACAGAAACTCAATGAACAAGTTTCCCCCCCTCCCTCTGTCTCTGCATCCATCCAGTTGATCTGAACCGTCTATATGATGACGTCAAGCGCTACAGCTGTACCCCACGCAACTACTCTGTAAACCTGCGCGAGGAGCTGAGGGCCACCAATGCCGTCTTCTTCCCTCGATGTCTGCTGGTCAAACGCTGCGGAGGCAACTGTGGCTGTGGAACTAACAACTGGAACAACGGCTGCACCTGTCAAGCCTCCAAGACGGTGCCCAAACTACACGAGGTATAGGTCTTACTAACATTCTAACACACACTCACAGATTGGTGGCCAAAGCATCACCCGCATTACAGATGAAGAGTTTTTGGTTTGTTTGTCTTGATCATTTACGGCTCCACATCCGACAAAAGCACAAGCAAAACATTTTGTTTTTGTTTGTGACCTTGCCTCATTCCTATTTACTTACATTCTGTGTGAAAAGCAGTTGCAGGATGCATTGGCATTGGTCACAGGTGAGTTTTCTGGTTTTCCTTTCCAATCATCCTGCACCCCAGGAAATTGAGAACAAACAGAACACATTTTTTTATAAATTGATCTGAAATGCGAAGAATCTCCATGAGAATAAACTTTAAACCTTAAAAATTAAATAATTGTTTATATGGGTTTACATTTACTATATTGATTCTATTTTCTTATGCACAATAATTATATACAAAAGATAACTCTTGATATAGACAAAGATGTGAGTTTAATATCTCACAGCATGTGCCAGGGAACACTGGGGCTTTTCCATTAACATGACAGCGTGTAATTCAGATATGAGCTGGGCTGGAACATGAGACTAACATCTCAGCACATTTTAGGTGCACAATCGCGAGGGGCAGAAGATGGCGTGTGTGTGTGAGTAAGTGAGTGATGTGGATGTGGAGAAGCAGGAGAAATCGGGCGTGCAGTGGCAGGAGCTGCATCAACAATGAAGCAGCAATGCACCAGCAGCCACACTCTTTTTCCTTCTGCTTCTCTCCATTTGTTTCTATGTTGGATCTGTCTTTCTCTTTCCCATCTCTCCGTCTCAGGACACTGTTGGCATTCTATCACTTTCTCTCTCTCTGGACTTCCATCATCCTTTCATTCTTTCCATTTCCCATTTTCAATTTAGTTCTTTGCAAAAGCACCATTCTTGTTCTTTAAGCCTGTCATTCATTCTTTTCTCTCTCTTCCCTCCATCTCTTTGTGTCTTTGTTCTTGTGTAGTTTCATTATTGAAACATGGTCTGTAGGGCTCCCTCCCTCTCTCTCTGTTAACAATCATACAATGGGAATTTAGACAAAAGTGGAGTTTAGGTTGCAATTGTGCCATGTGCATCTGAGTGTGTGTATGAGAGTGTGTGTATATTGTACATGCATAGAACTGTTTGTATGTGTGGTTGTGCGTTTTGATGAGATTTCCACCCTGTTCTCTTCTCTTAGCCAACAGCCATGGACCAGTATAAGCTTCCCCCCAGTAACTTAACTTCTTGAGAAACACTATCAATCAGGACTATTGTTTCAGTGCCAGTGCAAGTCCTGACATAAGTCATAGGCCACCTGGAGTTTACCGAGCGTTGAAGAACAAACTCACTGCATCATTTGTGGAACAGTCTGTACTTTTAGTTTATTTCTCCTGAAGAAACAGCACCTGAGAACAATGTGGCAAATAAAGTCAGATAAAATGAATGTGATTCTAAAGCACTCTTTAGCCATTTTCATACATGACCTCAGGAGGATTTCTGCAGACTCTCTACGGAGGTTTTGACATATGAACAACGCAGCAGGAGATTCTCTGCTCAGACACGTTAACAACACAGAAATCACCTGAGCATTCAGATGGGGGGGGGGTGCAAACAGCAATCACCCAGAGCTCTCATGACATCTGCGTCAGTCTCTTCTAGGTTTGTGGCACAACATTTTCATACAGTGATATTTGTCTGTTGCATGTTCAATATCATCAACACGCCCACACAGTGAATCCTGCGGACGATCTCCTGCTCTGTTCTCACATCGACTCCTGCGGACATTCTTTCCACTTTTTACAAAGGGACTGGCTGGAAAGCAGCTTTATAGACTCATAGTGTAAAACAAACCCATGTTACCTCTTTCTTGACTCTGCATTTGTAAAGAATTGTCAAACTTTTGTTTAAAACTACAATATGTCAAATTTTTGACGTAGTAAAAATCTCATAGTATGTCAGACTGACTATCAGTCTGTTTGCCTCTGCAATCTGTGTCAACACGGCTTTACCAAATCCCTTTATTTAAATACCTGGTGTTTGATATTTTCCCCTCACATACTCATGTTTTCTCTTTGCAAAGTCAACAGTCAGCCATTGGCAACTTGTCCTGGATATATCTTTGCTGGGAAAAACTCCAGCTTACAATGAATTTCAAAATAATAAAGGGATCCCGGTGTGAGTGGACTAGAGTGTAAATGTCATGGCTTCCAAAGTCATGTAGCACATGTGATTCATCTCAAGGGTTTTAAATAAATATACTTAACTTTAAACTTTTGCTTGGAATCATGACTTGACAAAACATTTTTAACACCTACAAATCAAAGGCAACATTTTCTTGTGCTTCTCCATCTCATCCTCCTTGATGTCTTCCTCTCTGTCTCCACCAGGTGCTGAAATACGCCCCAGAGGTCAGTTCGCCTCAACACCACCGGCGGCCGAAGGTGCGTTGGATCATAGACGAGATCTTCCTCACACACCATGAAACGTGCGAGTGTGCGTGTCCCTCCCAGCCTCCTCGCTGAGACACTCCGGACAGGCACGTGCCTCTGGAACTGTTGGACGAGTTCTTCCTTTATCTATTTGTGCAGCGCACTTCATGTAAAAACAGCAACGCAGACACGCGGTAAAGAAGACAGCATTATGACCGGCAAACCGCAGCTCGCATCATATGACTTCTGGTCTTGCAACAAACTACATTCCTCTGTTCACAGGACACCACTGCAAATGCAAAAATGTTTCAAGCCAAAGCTATTTGTTACTCAACTTTCCCACAACATGGATTAAAAATCAGCTTCAACCGAAATAAACATCACTTGTGCTCCGTGAAATGTTAAAATAACTGTGGATCTCCAGAGGAATTCACTTAGCTCCAAAAGGTAAAAATTGAAAATCATTTTGGATAGAAAAAATACCACATAGCACAAATACTCCTAAACCTACATTTCATTATTTATTAAAAGAGTTTATTAGATGAAAACTAGATTAGAATTCAAATAGAATTGGCTTAGACTGCTACGCAACCAATATTTTATTCCAATTTCACATGTATGTCTTTAGGTCTGTTAGAATAAGACTGTTTCTAGAAACTGCAGGCACTTCTTCAGCCAGGAGCCCACTGAGATGAGTGAGCGTGAGACAGAAGGAGGGAGTGAGAGGGTTTTGGAGGAAGTGTAAACCAAAATACCACTTTATCTTGATGTGAAATTAGGCTAACCACAACCTTCCAGATCTGAACTGCACGCTAACACACTCGCACACACACCTACTCCAGGCTTCCACTGCTACGTAAAGAAAAAAACGGTAGTTATTTCTATTGAATCCTGCACCGCTCTATTTTTCAGTGAAGGGCTCTTTTGTCTGAATATATCCACTCTTCTCTTTTGTCTTCCTCAGTAACTCCATCTCTAACACACACTTTCTCGCTCAGTTCTTCTCTCACCCTCAAAAACACCAAAGGAGATGTCAGATCAGGCCGCTGCCCATTTTTTCGGAACATTCCTGGCATTCCAGTTGCTCACCGGAATTCTGCCAACACGGATAAAACCAAGAGCTGCAGACCCTAAAGACATAACAGAGGAAAGATGCTCAGGAAGAGAGACGGAGAGGAAGTATTTTAGGACAAAATGGTTGGCAGAAAAGGGCTATCGAGCTGCCGAGTTGTAGATTAGGGGCACTTCTGGATGAGAGCTGCAGAGGGGGGACCACTTTCAAGATGTGACACAGAAAAACAAATGGCTGCTCCTTCAGTGGTTTCAATCAGTATGCATAGCTTTTTTTGGCTGGTAGCTTTTTCTATTTCATAAAAGTACTAATATGTGTCACAATCTGACCCTCTGTGTCATGTCGGTTGCAGCACCACAGGGAAAAAGAGATCTGAGAGAATTAGTGTAATGCTCTGATACTTCAGAGAGGAAGTGTGTGTGTGTGTGTGTGTGTGTGTGTGTGTGTGTGTGTGTGTGTGTTCGTCTGTGTAAGTGTGTGAGTGCTCAGGAAGAGGTCCTTTTGTTTCAAGGGGTAGAGGGTTACCAACAGTCTGCAAGAGCTGGCAGCAGATACAAGCATGTGAGCGGTCGGCATGTGACTGCGCACGCCAGTGTGTGCTTGTGTATGTGTGTGCCCTTGTGTGTCGTGTCTGTAGGTAGATAGCTCGATTATCAAAGCAACAGGGCAGCAAGAATTCAAACTAACTGCTCAACATTTCCATACCCATGAGCCAGCTGTGAGAAATAAAAGACGCCTTCATCTGTCATCACTCCATCTTCACCTACTGTGTATCCCAGCATCACAAACTCGCTTACAGGCTGGATTCACGCAGGGAGAATGGGATTTGACGCACTACTTCTGTTTAAAAGAGAATAACTGGACACAGATGATTTCCTCAGTCACAGCAAAACCCCATCAGCTGACGGCAGTTTGATGTGCACGTCTGTGCTGTAAGTCAACTCATGATACTTGGCAGGTGTGGGATACAAATATGTTTTAAAAGTGTGATAGTCATATTCCAAATAATCTCGCACACGCACACACACACAGACACACACAGACACACACACCTTTTTATGAAATCAAATTTCATATTTTGTTTGGAATATAAATGTATGTGAGGGGTGTGTGTGCATCCTGCGTCTGCCGGCGTTATCAGCACATTCCATTGTTGCACGCTCCAAAGAGCTCAGTTTCCTCTTGTGGTTCTTGACAATAGAACCATGTGTATTTCAAAGTCTGACGTTTGAACCTGCTTGTTTTTTTTACTCACACCAAGTAAGAACAGCTAAGACCTTTGGGAACATTTCAGAATAATCTACTTTCAATAATATTTGCTCCAGAGTTTCAGCCTGTCATGTTTCAAATCTCAGAAATGATTTAAGTTTCAACACAAAAATGTCCTTTGATGTATTCAGAAAATAATGTAGTCTGTATGAAACTGTATTCTTTACTTCAATAATTTATTGTCATTCTCGGTTGTTTTATTAAAAATATCAGCTTGGTTTTGATAAATAAAATATTTCTAGCACCACTGCCTCCAGTGCTTTGATTATTTTGTATTCATCAGCTGTTTGACTTTACATGGTTTTATTTAATATGAAAGAATGGCTTGTTTGATTACCTGTGGAGCGTAATAATGAATACATTTAAAAAAACATGTCAAGTCAAACATCTGATGAATGTGCTGTGATTCAGCGAGTACCTTACACAAGGGCTGCACATCATTTCCATCTCATACCAATAGGTCATTTCATATCCATATAACAACACATAATTAGTTGTAAATCTTTACTTCTTTATTCTTGTTTGTCTGGGCTGGTCGGAGTGTTTCACCTGTTGGGAGTTACTACAGAGGGTATATACAGATGGAGGATGCGTCTGTACTTCCTCCCACTATAGAGAATAAAGCCAAAATATCCTGGATACGAACGCTGCCTTCTTGTGCTGATGATTCATTTAGAATCAGACTCTGCACAGAAGCAATCAAGGTCCAGCCTACGTTCACACTTGGCCAATCAGGAGTCAGTCTCAGCTGTCAATCATTACCTTTCACTCCATTTTATATCATCACATAAAACTTTTTAGTTTGGTCCATGTCCCATCTACTAACATTAAGAGGGCAGGGTTTATAACTATTACTATTACATCTCAAAAATGTGGCTTCACTTTAGGGGAGTTGTCATATCTTCAATTTTTATATAAAATCTGTGGGAAAATTCCCATTCTGTGTAGCAAACACTCTCCTCCATTTTTGTTTATGTTGCCTTCATGTTGCTTTCCCATCTGTATCTGTGCCCTGTGGCTCAATGGGATATTTACAATAGAGCGGCATATGAATCATGTTTCACGTTGTTGTCAGATAATAAATATAATTACTTTGCCGAACCGTACCTCAAACTGAAAAGGGATGTACAGAAAAACTGTGAAGTGACTAAGTGTCAACACAAGCACATACAGTCAAGTTTCAAGTTTGAATGAACAGTTACAGTGAAGCTGTTGATCACTGTGCTGTCAGCCACAACAAACAGAGCCACAATGGAAACCACACACATGCTTTGAACAGTGTCTCAGTTCTAGGTTCAGGACAGGTCCATTATTTTTAATTTGTCAAAGAGTCTAAGTCTAAGTCAAGTTTCCTTTTTCTATTTGGGAACAACATTATTTCGTCCAAACCAAAGAAGCAAATTACATAAATAGTTGATGTATATATTATTATTATATTTGTTCTTACCCTATCACACTACTCTTCCAGTGCTGCCTATTAATATCCGATTGGCTTGGTTGTTCTTCCAATCTTGGAAACAGCCATCAAGAGCACAGTGAGTTTTCAGTGAAGTGCTAACATCAGCATGCTAAAGTCGTTAGACTGTTAATATGCTAATGTTTAAGGTACAATGTTTAACACGACTATGTTTATTTACCTAAAATGACAGAAACCATCTTTGAGAGACACTTTAGTTTCGGTCACTGTCCCATCCACCAACACGGAGTTAGGGATTATGACCTATGAAGCAGCCAGCTACCAGGGGGCGATCAAGATCCTTTGGATTCACTTTTAGAGGGCTGTCATGTCACCTGTCTTTATTTACATGTTTTATATGTACTATGTTTTATTTCTGTACCTCTGTAGGCTGTGTCTCGTCCCAGTGGTTGTTGTGGCAACACTTCCTGTGCCGTTATCGCTTCACAACAGTCTCCCTCATAAAGCCAGGCAGTCATATCCCACAATCCACCAACCAGCCAGAAATGTGTCCATCCGTCCATTCATCCATCCAACTGCTCCCGGTGGGGATGATGGAAATTGAAAAAAAGAACAAACAGCAAGATAAACAAAACTGAGCAAAATTAAGATTGAGGCAAAAAACAAAGTAAACTGGAGATCGTAAAAGAGAGACAGGGAAAGAGATCAATCAGAGGAAAGAAGGTCAGAGACAGAGGCAGCATGTTATTTGTTTGAACCCATCATTCCTAGAAGACTGTTTTTGTGTCTGTCAGCAGCTTCTTATCATTCTCTTGTGGGCAAATGTACGTGCACCCAAAATGTCAACTTAGTCTTAGATTATGCTGCCATCACAATTTTTCCTTTTTTCATACACGTATATATCTCAATGACACATCATTATAGTGCCATCAGTAAGGTCCTATTGAGATGATTCTGAGTTGATCTGACTACATGGGGAAGTCAGGTAATCTAGGTACATTCTTGTTGCCCCTGATCTCAGACCTATCAAAATGATTGTGTCATGCAAAAGACGTGTGTAACAACAATGCAATTACATGTTTGGTGATTAGCTGCTAATATTGAAAACCCTGACATGTGAAACCTAATTTGTCACAATTCACCTCACGTCCCTGACTCCACTCTGGTTCAACCATCTTGTTTTTCCTTCCTTCCTCCCTGTGTCCTACTTCCCTTTTGATCCCACAGTTTCATACGCATTTCTCATTTTCACTATTTCATTCTTGTGACTTATTCTTTGTCTCATCCTCTCCCAAGACGCCTTCTTTGTCTTTCTTATCAGGACAAATCACCACCCTGCTGTTCCTCGTAAATCCAGGAAATGAAACCATAAAAACTGGAGGGAAACATCTGAGGACCTTTATTCAAACCTCTGTCTCAATATGTCTTGCCTGTCTCCCTCTGTCTTCTTATATTTTCTCCATTCCATTTGTCATCTCCCACATTTCCCTTTCTCTGCTGGTGTTATTTTTAAGTGCACATTTGGAGGCAGAGTTAAGGAGACTGTGGATTTTAAATCTCATAGTCATTTATTAATCATGGAGGTGGCCTCAGCATGCAGAACACCTTCCACTGACTGTGCTGTCTCTCAAACCATTTTCATATCTCCTTCTTTGCCCAGTGGTTGTGGACAGGGCATGAGATAGAGTAGAGATCCACTGAATGCTGAATTTTCTTGGCCGATTCCAATTTTTTTTTAAAGTCTGACCTTCAAGCTCAGATGTTTTTATCACTTGTGATAATGTCTGACTGTTGATCAGCAGATTAATCAATAATCAATAGTCAAGATGAAAGAAATATGGTTTAAAATCTGCTGTTTCTGAGTCATCAAACTCAACCAACAGTAAAATCATGCTTTTATAATGTACCTGTAATGTTTATGGAATGGCATGGTATATACAACAATATTTGCATTGTGTACTTTTACTTAAAATGCTTCAAGTATAAGTGATAACTCACTTTCATACTTTTATCATATTCTATGTAAGCTCTGCAGTGCGGTACCAATAACCTTTACTGATTTCTAGTAAAGAATTTGAATATTTCCTCTGACACTGGTGCAAACATTGTACAAAAACAATAATAATCATGAAATACAATGTACTGTGAAACCATTATATTTTTTATATGTTAATAAACCACAAACATCTGATACCATCACAACCCCGCACCCGACACAGAAGGTGCTGGACAGGGAGTGTTGTGGGAGAAGAATAAACAAAGTTGATGGAGAGAAAAAGACGCCTTAAGACAGAATAGAGGGTTTCAAAGAGACACACAGCGACACATGGACAGATGATGAGTAGGAGGAGGAGAGCAGATGAAGTCATTGAGGCGTGTAGGAAAAGAATGGTGAGAATCTGACGCATAGCTGAGACACGATGTAGCGAGACAGCGCTGCCCTACATCACACACTGAACTGACATGGAGCAGAAATGAATGGAAGGAGCGCTGTCAATTTGTCCTCTCGCTCTTTTTTTTTTTTTTTATATATATAATCAAGGCTTTTTCCCTGGTCAATTCCCAAAGTCAAGAACAATCACAATCACTGTTTACTGATTCTTCCAGTTTCACCACTCACATAGTTATTTTGACATGGAAACACCCAGCATGAGATGATTTTGTTTGGAAATGTGTGGCTTAAGATTTGATTTCAACACTTCAACCTCACTTCTCTCAGCTTCTCTTCCCGAGGTTTTTTTTTTTCCATTTGCAAAATTCATTTAAACAAACACAGACATAAGGAGTCACCCACACACACCCACACCCCCACACACACCATCATATCCCTGTCCCTTCTGACCGCCAGTCCCACCCTTCCCTTTTAGTCCCCTGCTCCCATCTTTCCCCTCTTTCACACTACATTATAGAACAGCTTTCATTTAGGTATGAATATTAGATATTGCTTTTGAATAATGGAGAAAGACCGTATGTGAGGAATCTGCAGACATAAGAAGAAAAACGACAGTCGTACTTGTGGTTCTTCACCCGCACATTTAAAATAGCTCAATAAAAATGACTTTCTCTCGTTCAAACTGTTTCATTAAATAAAAGATTGGCTTTAAGTGCGAGTGAAGAAGTGAGGTGTGTATGTATGTATGTGTGATGCTACAATGGGTCGGAAGCTCTGCCGAAAGACTTGAGAGACACACTACTGTTGAAAATGACAACATATTACATCTGTTCTCTGTTTTTGTAAAAACAACTTGGGAGGTTTTATCAGGTTTTGTGCTTGCTATACTTTATGGGTGTAGGATACATGAAAAATGCATCTAAGGGTTTTGAAAGTTTTACACGACTTCTAAAGCACAGAGACAAGTGGGGAAAATTGTTTTTTCCTTAGTTCCTGAAGAGGTGGTTTGGGAAATTGCATTTGCAGCAATGTAATATAAGAGAACAGGGCAAAGGAAGAAGAGAGAGAAAGGAAGAGAGAGGGCCACAGGAAGAAACAAATAACACAAGCCCTGAAGCATCTGAGTCACTTTAATTCGATGGAAGTGATTAACTGCTGTGTCTCCGTGTGAGTGTGTGTTGGTATTAGTTATAAAATAAGTACCTCTAGGAGCACATGAACTTCATGGCACACTTTATTCTTACCGACTATTAGATTACCTGAATTACCTGGTGCAGGAGCTTAAATAGCTTGCCTACACACACATGCACACACACTGCTGCAACAGAGGAGGCATGCATGAATAAACACATAAAACTAACCCAGGGCTGCGCAGAGAGACACATACAACACACTAAAACGGCAACATGAGCAAGACAGAGGAAAACAGATTTGAGTCGCATTTAAAAGAGATTAAGAGCTTTACTTACAAAGTGAAATATTCTTATTGGCTTTTCTGGCACAAACATTAACACACACACAATTGGATGGTCATTGGAAGTGACAGCAACGAGCGAGAATGAAAGCATGATTCCTGTTCATTCCACATGGACTGATTCCACATCCACCAACGTGAAGTTTAAGTCGCTGACCGAACACAGTGGAAAGAAAAAGAACCTGAACCCTGTGGAAGTATCTGTTTCTCTGACTTAATTTTTCATAATCTGTGATCTAATCATCGAAGTAAGAACTTGTGTCTTTGTTGAAAACATCCCTGAAACATTCAGAGATTTTGTGACTGGTAAAATCCTCGTTTGGCTGCAGTAACCTCAAAGTGTTTTCTGTAGCTGCAGATCAGAAAAACACAATGTGAATGTATTTTTTTTGACCATTTTTCCAAAAACTGCTTTTAGATCAGACAGAGCGTGAGCTGCACCGCACTGGCCTTTTAGAAGCCCTTTTTTGTGATGTCTGTAGACCAATTGAATTTTCACATGTACAGGCAGAGGGCACTTGCTCGGCTCCGACTGAGAGTGATAGGCTATTCCTGAGTAAAACACTGGACACATGTAAACAGTAGACCAACCTAAATAGGAGAAATTAGGGGAAATATCACTTAAAGTCCATTTGCTTCGCCTGGATGATGGTTGATTCAAGGTTTTTATTTGTCCAGTCAAAGACAATTTGACATTCTAATGTAAATTGTTTGATCCCTCATCTCAACAATATAAACTACAGGGAGTCCATTAGTCCTGCTGAGTGGCTGAGCAGTTTTCTGGGGTCAGTGTCATTTGTTTTAATGTCACTGCTATATTTTGGATTGAGACCTATCCTACTCTTTATCCAATGAGCCTAAATATTTGTGTAGATGTAATTTTTTAACAAAGCATCAAGTTATGATAGATCAGAATACTTATACTTAAAAAATATTTTAAATGACTGCAAGCCTGCTCCTACGCAATAACAGAAACTATGAAATAGGGTTGGACCGTCGACCTTGGTTGTCAAAGTTCACATGGGCAAGATACAGTTGACTCTGAGGAACATGGAGACGGCATGCAATTTTTCCACCATTAGTCTTACTGTGAGTAAACAGTGCTAAATTAATCCCCTGCTTTCACCCAGGTTCAGTGGCTCAGACAGTGCAACTAACAGAGTTGGCAGCACTCACAAGAGGGAACGCTGCCAATCTCTCCATGGTCGCTATGACTCCTACAGGTTAGTAAGGATGTCTGTTCAGCAGGGATGGGGCTATCTGTGGGAGACAGCACCAAAACTCACTGAGAATCTGAGGAGGTCAATTGGCTTTGTCCTGTCTATCTTGTATTTTTTATCACTCTGCATGCTTGTATATACTACTTTATGGCGGTTATATAACATCTATTCAGAACGAATGATAGAAAATAGTCAAATATTCGTAGAATTAGAAAGATGGTTTGCCAAGAAGGCAACAAGTGCATAACATATCACTCCACCCCCCAAACCGTCTTTATAGTTCGACTATTTCCATTCAGTCCTCTGACCCGGCCTTTCTATAATAAAACTGCCCTCTCATGGTCATTCAACCACCGCCCCAACCCAAAAATCCCCACATCAGTCCAGACAAAAAGTAAAGAATGTCTAAAATAAATAACACACATGCAAACGAGACACAAACTCAACCTTTACAGCTCTGAAGATAGATGGAGGGAACACTGGGAATCC